TGGAAAAGAGAGAACGGAAGGACGGTGTCTGGGATGCTACAATGATCTGATTTGGAATCCATAATCCCACAGCTCTCAAAGGTTGATATGGCTGGCAGGGAAGTAGTCTTTTCCTTCCCTAATAATACATGAGCCTTCCAAAGAGAACGTAACTTTTCCAGATAGAGAAAAATACTTTACCAAGAGACGGCACTAGAGATTTTAAAAAGTCATATTGGCTGGGTATGGTGGCTCATGCGGCTCAAATGCCAGTTTGGGAGGCTGAGGAGGGAGAATTGCTTGAGGCCAGGCAGGCTCTCAGGCTGTTGGTCCCCAGGATAGATCTGCTCTCGGGACTACCGGGGTGTGTGCCTCTCTCAATACCCTCAACCCACCTGGGTGGGCGTCTCCCTGCCGAGCTAGTTCTTGGCAGTCAGGGGCAGCAGCTGAGAAACCTGGATTCCCGACCTCCGGTGGGCACAAAAGGAATCAACGAGATTAGGAGAAAAGACCTTTGCCAGGCCCACAGCTGAGAATCCCACCCCAAGCGCAACTCCCTGCCTCGGCCCTCCCCAGCCCCCACGGGCCCGGACCCCCATCGCCTGCACCGACCCTGCCCACCCAGCCACAGGCGGACAAAGCCTGGGGCTGGGTGGGGGGTATGCCCGGCGGGGGCTGGAAGCGGGACACTGGGACCCCGCAGACGCCCACAAGGCAAGGAGAAGCACCGGAGCACACAGGGGCGGCAGAGAGCGGAGAGAGAGGACGCTGCAAATCCTCCTCGCGCCCCCCCCCCCCCCCCCCCCCCGCCTCCTACCTTCCACCCCCCACCCCCCGCCAGCTGTTCCCGCCACTAGGCCCAGGACACGGCCTGGCTGAGCTCTTGGGGTTCCCGCCTTGAGCCCCAGAACAGCTGCGGGAGCCGTGGGACCCCGACAGCGCGCGCACGGTGGCTCTGGCCTAGGTCTCAGCTTACAACCAATAAATAGAAAGTGCCACTTGCAAAGCAAGCGAGGGCTGGCCGTCCACCACGCTGCTTTCCGCTCCCCCGCTTCGCAGGGCATCTGCAGAAAGGGCGGGGTACTGGATCCAGGTCACAGATCTGGAGACAGGCTCACCCCGCTACACTTCGCCACCCCCCACCCCACAAAAAAAGGAGTTCAAGACCAGCCCTGGCAACACCACAGTGAAATCCCATCTCTAAAAAACAGAAAACAACGACAACAAAAAACAACTAATAAAGCGTGATGGTGTGCTCCTGTGTGTGACGTGGGGGTGCCAGCTACTTGGAAGGCTGAGGTGACAGGATCACTTGAGTCTAGGAGTTTGAGGCTGTATGAGCTATGATTGAACCACTGAACTTCAGCCTTGGTGACAGAGGGAAATCCGGTCTCAAAAAAAATTTTTTTTGTCATACTGAGTAGAAAGAGCTATGAGGTAGCATGATCATAGATGTTCCATAGGAATTAGTAGCCCAGTAATTATAAAAAGAACTGCTATAAGGCGGTCCTCCTTGTTCCACTATAGGCATGAGAATTTAGCATGAGTCCCTGCATGAGACTGTGATTTATTCTATTTTATTTAATTTAGAGATAGGGTCTCCCTTTGTTATCCAGGCTGGGGTGCAGTGGAGTGATCACAGCTCACTGCAGCCTCCAACTCTTGGGTTCAAGTGATCCTCCCATCTTAGCCTCTCAAGTGGCTAGGATGATATGCATGTATCACCATTCTCAGATAAGTTTTTAATTTTTAATTTGTAGAGACAGGGTCTTACTAAGTTGCCTAGGCTGGGCTTGAACCCCAGGGCTCAAGCAATCCTCTTGCTTCAGCCTCCTGAGAACTAGGACTACAGACATGCACCTCCATGCCTGGCTAATTAGACTATGATATTATAACAGCACATCATTTACAAGAACCAGGAGGAAATCATTTTTTAAAAAATTCAGCCCTAGTTTCTACTTTAATTTTTATTTGTTTTTAATATTTTAGAAATGATACAGAGAATGAGTAGAATAATGCAATAGTGGAAGAGATAAACACAGATATATTTTTTTAATCCTACCTTTGCCATTTAAAAAGTCTTGATTACTCATATGAAAGAGTTAAAGCTAAGGAGTTGAATCAAGAAATATTTAAATAGAACTTTGATCAGTTGTTCTCTATGTATACATAATACAAATTAAATAAGTTTATGTAACCTAATGAGAATTATGTGGTATAGAAAATATATTTTCTTAATATAATTTTCAGAAGATTATGAATTAGATGTTTTACATAATAACTTTTCTGGAATGGAAAGGCTGGTTTTATGACCAACAGACATCCCTTTGAAGCTTGCTTTGTCAGTGACCATTGCTGAAATATGTTTTGTGGGGTACTTCTGTAGAAGACAATTCTAAAACAAGAAAAAGACATGCCTATTATTTTGGCTTATAGGGAGTGTATTAGTCAGTATTCTCTAGAGGGACAGAACTAATTACCAATATATAAAGGGGAGTTTATTAAGAAATCACAGGATCACAAGGTCACACAATAGGCTGTCTGCAAGCTGAGGAGCAAGAGGAGTTAGTCCAAGTCCCAAAACTGAAGAACCTGGAGTCTGATGTTTAAGAACAGGAAGCATCCAGCGTGAGAGGAAGACGTAGGCTGGGAGGCTTGGCCAGTCTAGCCTTTTCACATTTTTTTCTTCCTGCTTTATATCCCAGCCAGGCTCGCAGCTGATTAGATGGTACCCACCCAGAGTAAGGGTGGGTTTGCCTTTCCCAGCCCACTGACTCAAATGTTAATCTCTTGTAGGAACAGCTCCGGACTGCATTTCCCAGTGAGGGAGATGCAGAAGGCTAGTGATCTCTGTATTTCCAACCGAGGTATCAGGTTCACCTCAATGGGACTGGTTGGACAGTGGGTGTAGCCCAAGGAGGGTTACCCTGCTGAGATAGGGTGGGGCACTGCCTCACCTGGAAAGTGCAATGGGCTGGATGATGCCCCTCCTACAGAGGCCAGTGGGTACTTTTCCAGCCACTCCAGCACCCCGGTTCAGATATTGTGCTTCTCCCACGGTCTTTACAGCCCACAGACCAGGAGATTCCCGCTGGGTGAACAACTGCTATGGGTTTCCAGCACAAATCTCGGTGGCTGTTTTAACTGGTTCCTGGAACATCTGTGAGCCAGAGCCACCCATTCCCCTAAATAAAAGGGGCTGAAGGCAGGGAGCCACGTGATCTGGCTCTGCAGGTCCCACCCTCACAAAGACAAGCAAACTGAAACCCACTGGCTTGAGAGTTTCACAGCCAGCACAGCAGTCTGAGCTCAACCCAGGATGGTGGAGCTAAGTGGGAGAAGGGCATCCACCATTACTGAGGCAGTTTAACATTACCTGTGTAAACAAAACTGCGAGGAAGTTTACACAGCAGCTTGAGGAAGCCTGTGGCAGCTCAGCAACACCTCTGCAGGCAGACTGTGACTAGACTCCCTCCTTGCTGGGCAAGGCATCTCTGAAAAAATGTGGCAGCATGTCAGGGACCTATAGATAAAGCCCCACCTTCCTGGGACAGAGTACTTGGGAAAAGGGGCAGTTGTGAGTTCCACTGCAGCAAACTTAAACGTCCCTGCCCAGCAGCTCTTAAGGGAGCAATGGAGCTCCCAGCACAGCACTTGAGCTCTGATAAGGGACAGACTGCCTCCTCAAGCAGCTCCCTGAACCCTGTATATCCAAGGAGTCACCTTATACAGGAGAGCTCTGGCTGATATCTGGTGGGTACCCTTCTGGGATGAAGCTACCAGAGGAAGGAACAGGCAGTAATCTTTGCTGTTCTGCAGCCCCTGCAGGTGATTCTCAGACAAACAGGATCTGGAGTGGACCTTCAGCAGTCTGAAACTAAAAAAACAGAAAGAAATAGCTTCAACCTCAATGGATAGAATGTCCACTCAGAGACCCATCCGAGAATCACCAACTTCAAAGACTAAAGGTAGATAAATCCACAAAGATGGTAAGAAACCAGTGCAAAAATGATGAAATCACCAAAAACAAGAATGCCTCTCTTCCTCCAAGGGATCACAACTTGTCACCAGTGCAGAAACAAAACTGGATGGAGAATGAGTTTGACAAATTGACAGAAGCAGGTTTCAGAAGGTAGGTAATAAAAAACTTCTCTGAGCTAAAGGAGCGTGTTCTTAACCTAATGCGAAGAAACTAAGAATCTTGAAAAAAGGTTAGATGAAATTCTAACTAGAATAACCAGCTTGGAGCAGAACATAAATGGTTTGATGAAGCTGAAAAACACAGCATCAGAATGTCGTGAAGCACACACAAGTTTCAATAGCCAGATTGATAAAGCAGAAGAAAGGATGTCAGAGGTTGGAGATCAACTCGATGGGATAACATAAGACAAGGTTAGAGACAAAATAGTGAAAAGAAATGAACAAAGCCTAGAAGAAATATGGGATTATGTGAAAAGACCTAATCTATGTTTGCTTGGTGTACCTGAATGTGATGGGGAGAATAAATCCAAGCTGGAAAACACTCTTCATGATATTATCCAGGAGCACTTCTCCAACCTAGCAAGCCAGGCCAACATTCAAGTACAGGAAATACAAAGAACACCACAAGGATATTCCTCAAGAAGAGCAACCCCAAGACACATAATCATCAGATTCATCAGGGTTGAAATGAAGAAAAAAATGTTAAGTGTAGCCAGAGAGAAAGGTCAGGTTACCCACAAAGGGAAGCCCATCAGACTCACAGTGGATCTCTTGGCAGAAACCCTGTAAGTCAGAGAGAGTGGGGTCCAGTATTCAATGTTCTTAAAGAAAAGCACTTTCTACCCAGAATTTCAAATCCAGCCAATCTAAGTTTCATAAGTGAAGGAGAAATAAAATCCTTTACAGACAAGCAATTTCTGAGAGATTTTGTCACCACAAAGCCTGCCTTACAAGAGCTCCTGAAGGAAGTACTAACATGGAAAGGAACAACCAGTATCAGCCACTACAAAAACATACCAAATGGTAAAGAGCATTGACACAATGAAGAAACTGCATCAACTAACAGGCAAAACAATCAGCTAGCATCAAAATGGCAGGATCAAATTCACATGTAACAATAATAACCTTAAATGTAACCAGGCTAAATGCTCCAATCAAAAGAAACAGACTGGCAAACTGGATAAAGCATCAAGACCCATTGGTGTGCTGTATTCAGGAGACCCATCTCATGAGTGAAGACACACATAGACTCAAAATAAAGAGATAGAGGAAGATTTACCAAGCAAATAGAGAATCAGAAAAAGCAGGGGTTGCAATCCTAGTATCTGATATAACGGACTTTAAACCAACAGAGATAAATAGCGATAAAGAAGGGTGTTACATAATGGAAAAGGGATCAATGCAATAAGAAGAGCTAACTATCCTAAATATATATGCACCCAATACAGGAGCACCCAACACATAAAATGACTTAGGCTCCCACACAATAATAGTGGGAGACTCTAACACTCCACTGTCAATGTTAGACAGATCAACAAGACAGAAATTAACAAGGATATCCAGGACTTGAACTCAAATCTGGACCAAGTGAACCTAATAGACATCTACAGAACTCTCCATTCCAAATCTACATAACATACATCCTTCTCAGCACCACATTGCACTTACTCTAAATTGGACCACATAATTGGAAGTAAATCACTCCTCAGCAAATGCAAAAGAACAGAAATCATGACAAACTGTCCCTCAGACCACAGTGCAATCAAATTAGAACTCATGATTAAGAAACTCACCCAAAACCACACAACTACATGGAAACTGAACAATTTGTTCCTGAATGATTACTGAATAAATAATGAAAGAAGGCAGAAATAAAGGTGTTCTTCAAAACCAGTGAGAATGAAGACACAATGTATCAGATTCTTGGGACACAGTTACAGCACTGTCTAGAGGGAAATTTATCACACTAAATGCCCACATGAGAAGCAAGGAAAGATAAAAAATCAACACCTTATCATCACCATTAAAAGAACTAGAGGAGCAAAATCAAACAAATCCAAAAGCTAGCAGAAGACAAGAAATAACTAAAACCAGAGCAGAACTGAAGGAGATAGAGACACAAAAAAAACCCTTCAAAAATCTACCACATATACAAAGAGGAGTTGGTACCATTCCTTCTGAAACTATTCCAAACAATACAAAAAGAGAGAATCCTCCTTAACTCATTTTATGAGACCAACATCATACTGATACCAAAACCTGGCAGAGACATAACTCGAAAAGAAAATTTTAGGCCAATATCCATGATGAACATTGATGCAAAAATCTTTAATAAAATACTGGCAAATCAAATGCAACAGCACATCAAAAAGCTTATTCATCACGATCAAGTAGGCTTCATCCCAGGGATGCAAGGCTGATTCAACATATGCAAATCTATAAATATAATGCATCACATAAACAGAACCAAAGACAAAAAACACAGGATTATCTCAATAGATGCAGAGAAGGCCTTTGACAAAATTCAACAGCCCTTTATGATAAAAACTCTGAATAAACTTGGTATCGATGGAATATATCTCAAAAATATAAAAGCTATTTATGACAAACCCACAGCCAATATCATACTCAGCAGGCAAAAGCTGGAAGCATTCTCTTTGAAAACTGGCACTAGACAATGATGCCCTCTCTCACCACTCCTATTCAATATAGTGTTGGAAGTTCTAGCCAGAGCAATTAGGCAAGAAAAATAAATAAAGAATATTCAATAAGGAAAAGAGGAAGTCAAATTGTCTCTATTTGCAGATGACAACATTGTATATTTAGAAGACCCCATCATCTCAACCCCAAATCTCCTTAAGATGATAAGCAACTTCAGCAAAGTCTCAGAATACAAAATCAATGTGGGAAAATCACAAGCATTCCTATACATGAACAACAGACAAACAGAGAGCTAAAGCATGAGCGAACTCCCATTCATGATTGCTACAAAGAGAATAAAATACCTAGAAATACAACTAACAAAGGATGTGAAGGACCTCTTCAAGGAGAACTACAAAGCACTGCTCAAGGTAATAAGAGAGGACACAAACAGATGGAGAAACATTCCATACTCAGGATTAGGAAGAATCAATATCATAAAAATGGCCATACTGCCCAATGTAATTTATAAATTCAATGCTATCCCCATCAAGCTACCACTGACTTTCTTCACAGAACTGGAAAAAACCACCTTGTACTTCATATAGAACCAAAAAGCAGTCCTTAGTCCATAGCCATGACAATCCTAGGCAAAAAGAACAAAGCTGGAGGCATCATGCTACCTGACTTCAAACTATACTACAAGGCTGCAGTAATCAAAACAGCATGGTATTGGTACAAAAACAGAGATATAGACCAATGAAGCAGAACAGGGACCTTGGAATTAATGCCACACAACTACAACCATCTGATCTTTGACAAACTGGACAAAAACAAGCAATGGGGAAAGGATTCTCTGTTCAATAAATGGTGTTGGGAAAACTGGGTAGCCATGTGCAGAAAGCTGAAACTGGACCCCTTCCTTACACCTTATACAGAAATTAACTCAAGATGGATTAAAGACTTAAACATAAGACCTAACACCATAAAAACCCTAGAAGAAAACCTAGGCGAACTATTCAGGACATAGGCACAGGCAAGGACTTAATGACTAAAACACCAAAAGCATTGGCAACAAAAGCCAAAAAAAAAACAAACAAATGGGATCTAATTATACTTAAGAGCTTCTGCACAGCAAAAGAAACTATCATTAGAGTGAATGGGCAACCAACAGAATGGGAAAAAATTTTGCCATTTACCCATCTGACAAAGTGCTAAGGTCCAGAATCTACAAAGAACTAAAACAAATTTACAAGAAAAAAACAACCCCATCAAAAAGTGGGCAAAGGATACGAACAGACACTTCTCAAAAGAAGACATTTATGCGGCCAGCAAACATATGGAAATATGTTCATCATCACTGTTCATTAGAGAAATGCAAATCAAAACCACATTTAGATGCCATCTCATGCCAATTAGAATTGTGATAATTAAAAAATCTCATGACAACAGATGCTAGAAAGGATGTAGAGAAACAGAAACGCTTTAACACTGCTGGTGGGAGTGTAAATTAGTTCAATAATTGTGGAAGACAGTGTGGTGATTCATCAAGGATCTAGAAATAGAATTTGACCCAGCAATTCCATTACTGAGTATATGCCCAAAGGACTATAAAGTGTTCTATTATAAAGACATATACTCATGTATGTTCACTGTGGCACTGTTTACAATAGCAAAGACTTGAAACCAACCCAAATGCCCATCAGTGATAGACTGGATAAAGAAAATGTGGCACATATACACTATGGAATACTATGTAGCCATAAAGAAGGATGAGTTCATGTCCTTTGCAGGGACATGGATGAATCTGGAAACCATCATTCTCAGCAAACTGACAAAATAACAGAAAACCAAACACCACATGTTCTCACTCATAAGAGCGTGTTGAACAATAAGAATACATGGACACAGGGAGGGGAATATCACACACTGGAGTCTGTTGGGGGATCTGGGGTTAGGGGAGGGATAGCAGGGGATGGGGAGATTGAGGAGGGATAACATTAGGAGGAATACCTAATGTAGTTGATGGGGAAATGGAAGTAGCAAACTACCATGGCATGTGTTTATGTAACTATCCTGCAAGATCTGCACATGTACCCCAGAACTTCAAGTATAATTAAAAAAAAAATCTCTTGTATTAGTCAGGGTTCTCTAGAGGGAGGGAAATAATAGAATATATACATACATATATATATATATACACATACACACACACATATTAAAAATATGTATATTTTACGTATACATAAAATGTATATCTTTTATGTATAAATGTTTATGTATATATATTTTTATGTATATATACATATTTTATATATATACATGTATAAAAATACATATGCGTATACACATGTATACATATGTATACATAAAATATGTACATATGTATACATAAAATATGTATATCTGTATACATAAATATACGTGTGCACACACACGTATACATGCATACATACATGTGTATATATGCATACACACATGTATATGTACACACATGTACATGCATACATGTATACATGTACACACATACATGTATATATATGCATGCATACATATGTATACACATATACATGTATACATATGTACACATGTGTGCATACATATATACGTGTGTATACATACATGTGTGTATATATACATATGTATGTATATATGCATGTGTATACATATATATGTATACGTATGTATACACATGTGTACATACATATGTATACATACATACTCCAAGAGCAGTAAATACATACGTATGTATATGTATACATACGTATGTATATACATATATTCTATTAGTTCTCTCCCTCTAGAGGACCCTAATACAAGAGATTGTTTATTATACTAGAAGTTCTGCGGTACATGTGCAGACCTTGCAGGATAGTTACATAGGTAAACACATGCCACACATGTGAATGTATGTATGTATATATGTATACATACGTATATACATATATGTATCCATACACATATATATGTATGGATACATATATCTATAAATACATATGTGTGTATGTATACATATATATATATATAAGGTCCTATAATAGGCTGTCTGCAAGATGAGGATCAAGGATAGCTGGAGTCCCAGAACTGACAAACTTGAAGTCCAAATTTCAAGGGAAGAAAGTATCTGGCAGATTTGAGGCTCAGTATCTTCTGAAGCTGGGAGACAGAATCCCTGAGATCATCATTTTCTTTCATCACTTTGTCCACTGAACTGAGGAAGAACCGATAGCTTCATTATACTCTTTGGCTTCCCATATATGGTCAAAGGTATTATGTATGGAGTCATGAAACGCCTTGCCTCTCATGAGCAGTAAATCAGGGGTGTCAAATGCATTTATATTGCATAACTCTCTAAACAATTCACATCAAGGACTATTAGTATACTCCATACTATTAGGAGTAGAGTCCTTACCATTTTTGAGTCTAATCATATTAATCAGGCAACTCTAGAAACCCCAAAACCAGTGACTCTATCCTTAATATTTTGTTCCTCTAGAACCACTCCTGGTACCAAAATGTGTATTACTTAGGGTTCTCTAGAGTGACAGAACTAATAGTACATATATATGTGTGTGTGTGTGTGTGTGTGTGTGTGTGTGTGTGTGTGTGTGTATATATATGTATGGGGCACTTATTGAGTATTAATGTAAAGAATCACAAGGTCCCACAATAGGCCATCTACAAGCTGAGGAAGAAGGAGAGCCATTCCGAGTCCCAAAACTGAAGAACTTGGAGTCTGATGTTGGAGGACAGAAAGCATCCAGCACTGGAGAAAGATGTACGCTGGGAGGCTAGGCCAGTCTCTCCTTTACATGTTTTT